CCCCCTCCCCCTCACCCCCTGTGGTCATCGTAGGGCCAAGATTCCGCGCGGGTCCATTGTCACCGCCGTAATTACCGAGTCATCGTTATCAAGCCATTGTCATCATCATTAGGGGAAGCGCGACGGCCCGCGAGTCTGCTTGTGTTCCCTCTCGCCGATTTGGCTCTCGGGCGATGATCGAGGGAGAGGGAGGAGAGGGAGAGAGAGGAGCGGGAGAGGGGAGGGAGGGAGGGAGGAGGGAGAGAGAGGAGGGAGGGAGGGAGGGAGAGGGAGAGAGAGAGAGAGCGAGAGAGAGAGAGAGAGAGAGAGAGAGAGAGAGAGAGAGGCAGACAGACAGACAGCCAGAGCGCCCACACAGCCCGCGGCGTGTTTATCGGGCGTCGCTAATGGCTCGCCTCCGATGATCCAGGAGCGGCGGCCTTCGTCTTCCGCTTCTTCCTCTTCCCTCCTTTCGTTGTCGTCTTCCTAGTCCTCTCCTTCTCTTCCTCTTAGCTTTCTTCTTCTTTTAGTTCTTCCTTTCCATCTTTGACTTTTTCTATTATTTTTTTTCTGCGTCTTCATCTTTCTTTGTCCTCCCCCCCCTTGATTATCTTATTCTTTTAATTTTTTCTTTCTTCTCCCACTTCTCCCCTATCTCCTCCCTTTCTCCCTCTTCTAGTCCCTCCTCTTCCCCCTTCCGCCTCTTCCACTCGACCTTTCTCCTCTCTCCTCCCTTCTTCTGCCTCCTTCTCGTCCTCTTCCGCCTCCTCTTCTCGTCCCTCTTCCGCTCCTCTTCTACCTTCTTCTGCTCCTCTTCTCGTCCCTCTTCCGCCTCCTCTTCCCCCCCCCCCCTTCCTGGTCCCCCCTCCCCCCTCCGAGGCCCGGGTGGCGCGCGAGTCCCGATTCATCTGCTGCCTAATTGCTTGCGAGCGCTGCCTGCCAATGAGTTTACTGAGGCGATAAACCAGCCGGAAAATGTCATTGGAGACTTAATTATTGCGCAGAAGGGGGGAGGAGGGGAGGGAGGAAGAGGGAGGGGGAGAAGAGGGAGGGAGGGAGGGAGGGGGAAGGAGGGAGGGAGGGGGGAAGGAGGCGAGGGGGCAAGGAGAAGAAGAGAGGAGGACAAGGAGGAAGAAGGTGCTAGAAGGAGAGGAGAAAGGGGAAAAAAAAAAGAGAATGAGGAGGAAAGGGGGAGGGAACGAGGGAGGGAGAGGAGGAAGGAAAGGTGAGCGCGTATGGGAGGAAGGGAAGGGGGGGGAGGGTGGGAGGAGGAAGTTCCCCAAGAGAGGAAAGTGGAGGAGTGGAGCAGATGCGGATTCTGCCATACTCGCCGTCGCGTTTTTCCTCCTCCTCCTCCTCCGCCTTTCCCGTTTTTCGAAATCGTTTTCTCCGACTCGCAGCCTCAATTATCGTATCACTGCATCTGGCGGAGTCACGAGTGAGATAAACATACATGTGCGCTGCCTCAAAAAAACAACAACAATCAGAATACAACGACTTTCACCCTACATTTTGCGTAGCCGTGAGGGAGAGACAGTCCGATATGGACAAATCAAACGCCCATTTTTACTTAAATCAAACGCCCATTTTTACTTAAATCAAGACAAAACGCCCCATTTTTGCTTAAATCAAATGCCCATTTTTATTCACATTTCCGAAAGCGGGTAATGGGGTATTTCCATGGCAGCCCGTTCAGGGAAAAAGAAAAAAGAAGGAGAAGCGAAACAGGAGAGAGAAGGAGGAGAGAAGAGGAAATAGAGAAGAGAGCGACAGGAGAGAGGAGGAGAGAGAGAGGGAGAGAGACAGAGAGAGAAAAGAGAGAGAGAGAAGGAGAGAAAAAGAAAAAAGGATATGCCCGCCCACCTTCGTGCGACACAAGTCTTCCTCCAAGAAAACACTTTCCACCCACTTTGTATGCCCACTCCTCCCTCCCCCCATTTCCCCCCTCCCCTCCCTCTCCTCCATGTCCCTCCCCCCATGATCAGGGCTTGCCTCTTGTTCTGCATTCGTAATTTTATGATGATTGGCACTTTCCATTGAGATATATAAATACATATATTATATATTATATATAATATATTATAAACAAAAAATAGATAATACAAAGATATCAGAAAAATAAAAAAAAAAAAAACGCAAATAAAATAGAAAAATAGATTAATATATATAATCCGAAATAAGAACATATACATAAAGAATACAATAATATATTAAACATATACAATATATTACAAAATACATCATCATCATATAATATAAATACCCATACCTACACACACCATAACATCCCCCCTCTCTCTTCAATATCGATTCATACCTCCTTCTTCCTCCCTCCTCTTACCTACACATTCACACTGAGGAGAGAGGAGAAGAGAGAGAGAGAGTACCGCGAAGGAGAGAGGAGAGGAGGAGAGAGAGAATGCAAGGATGATATGAGGAGAGAAGAGAGAAGAGAGATAGAGAGCGGGAGAGAGAGAAGATGAAGGAGGGAGACAGAAATTAGGAGAGATTGTGAAATTACGAGTCTGAGATTAGAGGGAATATGTGAAAACAAGAATAACAGATGGGATAGAGAGTGAAAGAAACCAAATTTGAAACGAGAAAGAGAAAGAGAAAGAGGAGAAAGAGGGGAGAAAGAATGAGAAAAGACAGGGATAGAGAGAAAAGAGAGGAGAGAAAGAAAGATGAGCTGGAGGAGAAAGAAAAGAAAGGAGAAAAAGAGGAAGAAAAGGGAAAGAGAGAAAAAAGGAGGGGAGACAGCAGAAGGCTCAATCGTCGTGGGCAGTGCATCTGGCATGCTTTATTAATTGCCGCAAATTGTGAGCAAATGGCAGCACGCCTTCCCCGTCAGCGGATTAAATATTTTGAAGTCCCGCGGGCGTCGAGGCGTCGGGCGGGCGGCGGGAGCGGGCGGCGGGGCGGGCGGCGGGCGCGGCGGAGAGGAGGAGCGGCGGCGGGACTAAGACAAAGTAGTAGGAATTTCTTTGACGGTTTTATCTACAAATTCTTGCTTAGACATTACTTTTGTTCTCCGAAATAGATTCACGGATATATTATTTTTTCTTTATATTTCATATGTATTGCAGATTCATTGATCGTTTTCTGTATGTTTTGGTTTTGCAAAAATGCCTTTTCCAAAACGGAAAACGAAGGGATAAGGGAATGTAACTTTTTGAGGCTAAGAAGTACCTCTGGAACGCGAAAGCACGATCCGGGGAACAAATGGTTATGATAATTAAAGTGTAAAAGAGCTATATATAGTGATGAGTGAGGAGAGAGGAGAGAAGAAGAGGGAGAGAGAGAGAGGAGAGAGAAGGAGAGAGAGAGAGAGAGAGGAAAGAGAGAAGAGAGAGAAGAAGAGAGAGGAGGAGAGAAGCGGGAGGAGGAGAGAGAGAGAGAGAGAGAGAGAGGATAATAGCCAGTGAAACTCTTTCTTCTTAAGCAGCACTCCATTACCGAGCCCGCCCATTCCAGCTGACCTGACCAGCCCGAAGGACGCCAGAAATTCTGAAATCATGTTCTTGAAATATGAGCAATTGTCATACAGGCAGAGATGCTTTCCGCGCAAAGGCATTGATTGACAGGGACTTGACAGGAGCTTGACAACAGAATTTCCCATGCAGAGAGAGCCGAGAAGAGGAGGGAGGAGGAAGGAGGAGGAGAAGGAGGAGGAGGAGGAGGAGGAGGAGGAGGAGGAGGAGGAGGGGAGGAGGAGGAGGAGGAGGAGGAGGAGGAGTGAGTAGGAGTAGGAGGAGGAGGAGGAGGAGGAGGAGAAGGAGGAGGAGAAGGAGAGGAGGAGGAGGAGGAGGAGGAGGAAAGGGAGAGCGGAGTGTAAAAAAAAAAATGTATAGTCACTGTATGGTGAAGTCCGAGAGAGGCGTTTCAACACGGATCCCCCTTTTTACCTGCATGAAAGTACCGTTCTTTTATAATGCTAGAAATCGCGAACCTTGACAATCTTTTTTATGTGACGTTGAGAATACAGTCTACGAGCCTTGATTTTTTTTTTTTTTTTTTTTTTTATAGGTGATGCTGAGAATACACCGATGATTATTCTTGTGCAATGGAGATCTGTCAGAAGGGGCTTGCGTGTTCACTGTTCACCCCCCCTCCCCCTGCCCCCTCGCCCCCTCCCCCCACTCCTTGGGAATATCTTGGAGTGAAGTGTGGAATTTTGAGCGAAAGTGTAGAGGAATGAAGGAAGAGAGAGAGAGAGAGAGAGAGAGAGAAAGAGGAGAGAGAAAGAGAGAGAAGAGAGAGAAGAGAGAGAGAGAGAGAGAGAGAGAGGAGAGAGAGAGAGAGAGAGAGAGAGAAGAGAGAGAGAGAGAGAGAGAGATATAAAAAAAAATTACCTCTAGACTTACGCAATGGGTTGGTCGTAAGAAGAAGAAATCAGCATATGACTAAGCTAGATTCCCCCCCTCCCCCCCCTCTTCCTCCCTCTCCTCCAGACTTCAGAAATCGTAAAAGACCAGAAAGAGGAGAAGGAAAATATCCAATAATAACGGACAGGAAATCAAAGCAATTAGTCGCAGAGTTCAGTTTCTTCAAGAAAGAAATTCCAAAACAGAACGCAATTATAAGCATCTCCTCATGCTTCTCGTCTCCTCTCGCGCCTTAAGCATCTCCTGGCTGAGGGGAGAAGATACCTTATCAGCAGGACACGAGTAGACAACCCTCTTGGCGAAAAAAAAAAAAAAAAGGAAAAAAAAAGTCGGAGGACAACCTTACTGCCGAGAAGAGAAAAAAAAAAAAAAAAAAAAAAAAAAAAAAAAAAAAAAAAAAAAAACACGACAAACAAACAGGAGGGACGCCCTGGCACAGACGGAGCTGCGCAGCGGGGCCGCCGACGCAGCCACGTCAGGTGTCCGAGCTTGCACCTGAGAGAAGCTCGTGCGACAGAAGGTAATGAAGCGCGTGCGGAGACACAGGTAAGATAGCGATGTTTCCTCTTTGATCTTTGCTTCGTTTGAGCTTTCTGTCTTTTGGAATGGCAAGACGAAAGGAGGGCGGGTACTCACGTTTCTTCTTGGAGTCGTCGGGGCTCGGCTGCTGCATGATGTTCTGGGCGACCACCTGGTGTGGCGTCGGCGGCGTCGGGATGTCCATGGTAATCATGAAGAGAGCTTCTTCGGCCACGGTTACAAGCGCAAGGACTTCGCTCCCGAGGGCGCCGCGGCTGACGGAGGCGAGGGCGGGGCGGGCGGAGTGCGTGGGACGTGGGAGGTCGGAGGCGAGGCTCCTTCGACACACACGCTCACTCACACACGCACACGCTCACACACACGCACACACACGCTCACTCACGTGCTCGTCACAGCCCGCGGGAGGTGCGGGCGGCGAGGGCGGCGGAGCGGTCACTGGCGGGCGGAGGTGCACTAGTCCAGCGCGCGCTGGGGCTAGTGACGCGGGCGGGCGCTCCTGCGGCAGGATGCGGGCAGGTGGATGACCCCGGCGGAAGGAGGAGTCCTGGGCGGGATCGAGCGGCCTGTAGCGGCAGGAGCGGGAGGAGCAAGGGCGGCCTGTCAGTCTCTCATCGGCGCACGGAATCCTGCAAGGAAGGCACAGCTAGGTTAGTCTCTGGCGCCGTCCTGGGGGGGGGGGTGTCCTGCGGGAGAGAGTCCTCGCAAGGAGCCCGCGAAGGACCTTAAATCTACGCAGAGCAAGGAGCCGAGTCGCCTCGAAGGAGTCGGAGAGTCCCTGGCAGCCGTGACTGGAGAGTCCCGTCGGCGGGTCTTGGCGGCGCGACGGGACAGGTAACGGGCGGACCGGGTGGGGGGGGGTGCAGCACAGCCTCGCAGATGCAGACTCTCTCTCTCTCTCTTTCTCTCCATTCCTCTTTCTCCCTCTCTCTCTCTTTCTCTCCATTCCTCACTTTCTCTCTCTCTCTCTCTCTTTCTCTCAATTCCTCACTCACTCTCTCTCTCTCTCTCCTCCTCTCTTTTCTACAACTTTTTTCTATCTTTACCGGGTTTTAAGCACGACCCTCATAACTTCTGAAAAAAGACACGCACATAATACATCAACAAAGAAAAAATTAAGAATGAAAAAAAAGGTAAAAATATTCCTTTCGACAAGTCAACGCCAACAAACTTCTCTACCTCTTTTATCACTTTGCCAACTTTTGTATCTACATTATCATCTTATTTTTTCTCTCTCCAGCATTCTTGTTCACAGTCGGATAATTGGCGACCAAAGAAAGTGGCCAAACACCTTGGTGGTTCGGGGACCAAAACAAAGAAAAAGAAGAGAGAGAGAGAGAGAGAGAGAGAGAGAGAGAGAGAGAGAGAGAGAGAGAGAGAGAGAGAGAGAGAGAGAGAGAGAGAGAGAGAAGAGAGAGAGAGAGAGAGAGAGAGAGACAGACAGACAAACAGATATTAAAACAAACAGAAAGAGAAAAATGAAAACAGACAAAGACACGGAGAGAAAAAAAGGAAACAAAGAGAGAAAAAAGAGAAAAATTAATTTCCCGAGCGGCGGCGGCGGCGTGTGTTCGGACGGGATCGCTACCTATGCATTAGCCTCCTCTGGCTGCGGCTTCGGCCCCGTCATTGTGCTCAGCGAGAGTCAATAGTTACTCCGCGCGGGTCTCGGATCCGCTGCAATCAGGCCCTTATTTATGGGGATGTTTCGGGGTGGGGGGGGGGCGGGGGCGAGGGAGGGGCGAAGGAGGGCGAGGGAGGGGAGACAGGAGAGGGGGAAGGAGAGGGAGAGGGGGGTCAGCACGGAGCAATTCCGCCGCCCACTCTTCCTCCGACGGCACCTCGCTTCTGGCGGGCGAGGGCAGGTGGGGGCGCCGGGCATCTCCTCTCATCTCTCTCTCTATATATTTATTTTTCTCTCTCATTTGCTCTCTCTGTCCTCTTATTCCTTCTTTCCATGTTCTTTTGCGTGTTCTCTTCCTGTATTACGGACTGTGAGGGAAGGAGGAGGAGGAGGAGGAGAGGGGAGTAAGAGGAATAGGGAAGGTGGAAGGAGAAGTAAAGAAGAAAGGAAGGAGGAGGAGAAGGAAGATGACAGTAAGACAGGGAGGAGGGAAGAGGACAGGAAAAGGAGGAGGAGGAGAGGGAGGGAGACAGTGGAAAGGAGGGGGAGGGAGGGGAGTAACAAGGGGGCCGAGGAGCAGGGTCGAGGATGGGCGTGTTCAGCCGCCCATCCTTGCCGCCACGCCCGCCCCGATCAAAGAGAACCCCCTTTACGCCCGGATCTCTCCTCGCCCACAAAAGGGAAAAGAAAGAGCACACGAGGCGAAAACAAGAACAAAAAGGGGAATGGAGAGAAGAAAGGAAAGAGGCCGTTAAAGAGGAAGCTTTCAGCCGCTCGTATCTCCCCTACTTAGGGCGTCCGGGAGTGGGCGCGCGGCCGAGGCTCAGATCGGGCGCGATACGAGAGTCACGAGGCGCGCCCCGAGCTGACGACGATCCCTTCCAAGCGGCCATTTTGAGCCCGCTCTCCCTGTTTAACCCACGCCCTTTTACAGCCCATCGTATTCTTCCTCCCTTCGCCCTGTCTTCCCCCTCCCCGATCCCCATTTCCCTCCCTCCTCCCTCCCCTCCCCTCCCCCCCCCTCGACCGCCCACTCTATCGGTCGAAAGGGTTGGCGCGAAGGGAGGTCATCGACCTCGTCTCCCTTTCCGGAGTGCCATCAGTGCCTTTTCTTTGGTCTTCTCCTTTCGCTTTTATCTCCTTCTCCCTCTCACTCCCCGTCTTTGGGTTTTATCCCATGTCTTTCGTTCTTTCTCTTCGCTTTTATTCTTCTCTTCCGTCTGCCTCCCTCCTGCGCTTCTTGCGGTGCCTCTCGCGCGCCCTCTCGCCCTCAGGCAGCGAGATCAGTCAGTGGATATTAATATTTATAAGTTTCAGTTCAGCGGCCTGCATGGAGCTCTCTCTCTCCTCTCACTCTTCCTTGCTTTCTCCCTCTCCTCTCTCTCTCACTTTCTTTTTCCTTTTTTTCGAGGAAAACTTTCAAAGGAAAAGCAAGCAACGCGTTTGTCGACCACGCCTTTTTGCGCCTCATTTCGCGTTTGCTGATCAAACCCGAAGGCCGCCTGCGCCGACGCCCTCCGAGAGGCGCGAGGGAGGAATGAGAGTGAGAAAGAGGAAGAGGAAGTAAGTAAGAGGAAGAAAAGGGTTGTTAGACTCCCTGAGCGGCCGGCGCAGAGCCCCGCTAGAGCGTCTCCCAAGCGCCCCAAGCGGGGGCGCAGAAGGAGACGGGGCCGCGGCACTTAGCGCTCGGACGGGACGCAGCGCCATAATTCACTGCCCTCGGAGGCAGTCTCTGACGAGGCGCCCTTTTTATCTGCGTTCTCACTCCTAAGGAGCTTTTTTCTCTTCCTTCGCGCTTCCTATCGCCGCGCCGACGACCCGGAGGCGGGCTAATAGGGCCGATAGCCGGCGCTGACGAGGCGCGGAGAGCGGATCACACCCTGGCGATAATTACGGTTTCCTTACGGCGGGATCGATCCCTATCTTGAGGCGCGACACGCCCTCAGCCGAGCCTCCGCAAGGATGCCTCTTCTTCCTGTCCTCCAATCGGACCTCTCCTGCGCCTCTTTATATCCTTTGTCCTCTTCATGTCTCTTCCTCCTTCCTCCCACCCTCTCGTCCTCCCCCTCTCCCCCTTGCCCTCCTCCGTCCATCTTTTCCTCCTTCGCCCTCCCTGCCCTTCGTCCCCCTCCGCTCCTCCATCTCCCCGTCACATCTCTCTCCCGAGGGCGAGCGAGTCCGTTATCCGGGAGCGAAGGACCTCCCGTGTCGGGCGCCGGCCGTCCTCCGCGCCGATGGAGAGGGAGAAGAGAGAGGAGAGGGAGAGAGGGAGAAGGAGAGAGGAGAAGGAGAGAGGGAGAGGAGGAGAGAGAAGAGAGAGGGAGAAGAGAGAGAGGGAGACGGAGAGAGGGAGAAGAAGAGAGGGAGACGAAGAGAGGGGGAGATGGGGGAGTGTGAGGTGGTAGGGAGAGAGAGAGGAAGAAATGGAGATAGGGAGAGAGGGGCTAGGGAGATAAAGCAAAGAGTTTAAGGGGGGATAGAGAGAAGACAAGAAAATCGAATAAGAGAAGTCGAATATGGGAAGAAAAAAAGATAGGAGGCATAAACGAAAAGACCAGCGGGAAAATAATACAAAAAAAACAAACGGAGAGAAGGAAAGGAAATGGAAAAAGGAGAGCAACAAACCGAGAAGCGAGGGAGAGGGGGGGGAGGGGGAGGGCGCAGCAGCCATAGGTCCCGAAGCTGAACAAACATCTCTCTTGAGGAATGGCGATTGTCTTCGGCCCATCTCCTTATCGCTCGCCACAATTTGTCAAGAGAGACGGCGAGGATGAGCAGAGGGGGAGTGGGAGGGGGGGGGGGGGGGATACGGGAGGGTAAGGAGAGAAGGGGTATGCGATGGATGGTCGAAAGGGTAAGGAGGGAGGAGGGCGGTGGAAGTGAATAGGAGGGAAGGGGGAGGGGAAAGGGGCGAGAGATAGGGGGAGGGAGGGGAGGGGAAGGGTAAGAAGGAGGGACGGAAAACCACTTATGACGGTGATATGCAGGTGTTACGCCCCCTACATGGTCCTCGCGCCGTCACAGCTGATCACATAATTACAGGTAGAAGGACCCGGGCCTCGGCGGGCTGAGGGCAGTCGGGGCATTACCTGCTCCGGTGTTTACTCTATTTAATGAGAGAGAGAGAGAGGGAGAGAGAGAGGGAGAGAGAGAGGGAGAGAGAGAGAGAGAGAGAGAGGGAGGGAGAGAGAGAGAGAGAGAGAGAGAGAGAGAGAGAGAGAGAGAGAGAGAGAGAGAGAGAGAGAGAGAGAGAGAGAGAGAGAGAGAGAGAGAGAGAGAGAGAGGAGAGGAGGAGAGGGAGGAGGAGGAGAGAGAGAGAGAGAGAGAGGAGAGAGAGAGCGCAACAGGTTCCCCTTCTTGCCTCGCCTCCGACGCCTGGGCCCCATTCCCACCTGGCGTTTCCTTCACCAGCACACCGAAGCGGCCTACGAGAGCGAGGGCACCGGACCCCCCCCCCCCCCTCCCCCCCTCCTCCTCCACGGCGCGCGTCCGCCCTCCATCCCGGCACAAGTCCGGCGGGATGATTCGCTAATCGGCGGCCGGCTCGTCCCCCGTCGCGCCCGACATGTAGATTATTGATTCGGTTGCTTGGCCGAACATCAGGTCGAGATGGGCGCCGGGATGCTGGACATGGGCGAGCGGGGCGGGCGGGGGAGCGGGGCAGGGGAGGGGCGCGCCATGGGACGGGAGGGGGAGGAGGGGGGGGGTAGACGCCAGTAGAAGAAAACGGGAATTCAGGGGAGACTCTCGCAGCCCCGGAGCGCCGGCGCGGGAGAACTCCATTATTTTTACGATTGTTCTCTGCGGAGTATTTCCTTGTGGCCTTTTGCGAGACGCGATGCAGGCGATGTTTAGTCTTCAGCTAACCAAAATACCGTGAGTCCTACGGGAGTAGGATTTTGTCCCAGACACGCTTCCTTCGGAGTCTCCTGCGTTTTCGGATGTCAACAGCAGTGATGGAGACTGCGATAACTTATATCATATTTTTATAATATTCCCGAATGG